TTGAGTTAATTACACAATACTGCTTATACAGTATTATACAATAATACTGTTCCCGGCTTACAGATTTGACTTAAGGACAGACCTTGGGAGTGGAACTCATTCTTAAACTGGGGACACCTTAACTCAAAATACATTCTTTCATGTTCTTATTGGTATATTTTTTTTTATTCTGTTCCCATATAATAATGACAGAGTGAGGAAAGCAGATTTAAAAAGCCTTATTTAATCACACAGAAAAAAAGCAATGGCCATTTGGTGCTTTTTAATTAATTAATTAAATAATAAATAGGAAAAAATGAAGGTTTGTTGGGGGGCAAGTTGAATCAGGTTTAAGATTTGAGCCCGAGCCTTGCCTATTTTGTAGGGCTGTCAGAGGAAGAAAGCGGGGCAGAAACTAAGCACCCCCTGTGGAATATGTGTATGTGGGGTAGTTCAGAGCTAGGAACAGGATAGGTCAGTGTTTTGCCAGGGGAGGCCATGTGGCAGAGCTACTAGGCAGAGGGCAAGGAAGCACCCTGAAGAGAGGGTTCATAGAGAATGCAGTAGTTTCTTTACCTCAGACCCAAGTGACAGATCATGGGTTCGCAAAGGCCACCCCAAGACTGCCTTCTTGTTCCTTACACTTGAGTAGGAAGGTGTTCTGCCCTCCTTCCCATTGGGAGGCAAGGTCCTTTCCTAGCCTAGTTTGTCAGCATTTGCTGAGAGATGTTGTCACTGCTGTTGCTGCCCACCTCCGTACTCCTTTCCCAGAATGGTCGTTCTCTTGCCACCCAAGAAAAGGCAGAGGAGTACGAGGAGGAATCCAGCTGGAATGGGTAGAGGGAAGCTGCTGGGAAGAAAATTTAAAGGAAAGTAGGGATGTCTGCTTCTCCCACAGCAGTTCCTTGCTAGTAGCAGCTTTTTCCATCCCAGAACTGATGGTCTCTGGCCTGAGCTGTGACAGCCCTTTGATGAGGGGCTAGATGTGCAGCTGTCACTCATTGTTCCCCCTCAGGTTCAGAGTTGCACTTCCTTCTTAGCCAGACAGTCTGTAGTGCCTAGCCATGGTCAGCAATCTGCTGCCGTACTGTTGGACATCACTCTCCTGCTGTATGTGTCATTGAGGCACCAGCTACAGAAAATTACCTTGAGTACTGCATATGGCCTGTGGCCTGCATGTGGCCACAAGTTTGAGACTTCTGCTCTAAAGGATTATTTTAATAATTTGGCAGACTTCTATCCTGTTATTAGAAGTTGACATGACCTCTGTGGCATGGACTGACTTTTTCCCAAATTAGTCTGGTTTGCTAGGTGTAACTCTTCTTGCATAGACAGTACTTAGCATCAGTGAGCCAAGTGTGGTAACCAGGTGTTTAGATTGTTTATGATACTGTCTGGGAAATTGCTGTTGAAGAGGCATACAGATATCAGTACTAATTGAAACAGGTTGGGTAGTTTGTTAATGAGCTTACCATACCAATGTTATATTATCTTAATTGACTTCCAGGTCAATGAATTTGTTAATATGTAAGGGGGTTCCTGTTGAATGTCCATTCTCCCTGTATTTTTACCCTTTTAATTGTGGACTTGAATTATGGAATAGTCTCCCCAGGGAGGACCATCTGGCACCTTCTGATGTTCTTTTGGTGCAGTCAGAGACTCTTACATTTTCAGAACTCATTTTCTTGTGTTTCTTATTTGTAAACCTGGAAAAGGGATGAGCAAATACAAGATATTAATCTTTGCAAATAGTCATACAGTATTTATAAATCCTTAATGGTTTTTTGCGTATTGAACAAAGAAATAGTGACTTCTTTTGAATTGCTTTTATATAGTGTTGTACAGCAACAAGTTTTAGAAGTAAATAAAAGGAAGCGGGAAAAGTGTATTAGTAATAGAAAAATTCCTGTCACTATTAACATTCCATATTGCCTTTCTTCTTGCTGAAATAAATAGTTCTGAATTGTGTTTATGATTGCTGAATAGAACTTTGTCTTATTTGCTCTTGGCTTAAGTTCACTCTTATGGATATAAATTGAAAGATCCTGCAAGGTGAAAATATTAATATTAGGATTCATACTAGCTCTGTTTACAGTTAATGTTTACTGAATCAATCCAGTTTTCTGAGTTTACACAACCATATATTAATCATATAGGCTGGGTTCTCATAACATATTAGGCTAAAATGTAATTTACTAGTTTGTAGTTCAAATGTTCTATAAACAACTGCTGGGTTTTTTTTAAGAGGTGAGCTAGGAGTAGGACAATACTTTATTAAATCAAATACTGACACAGCTTTCTGAATTCCTTAGGACACTGCAGGTCAGGAGCGATTCAGAACACTAACACCCAGCTATTACAGAGGAGCACAAGGAGTTATATTAGGTAAGTATGTGACTAGTCACTGCTTATCTGAAAATACTCTAATTTGTATTAAGATTTAAGTTTTTAACTCCTTTGCCTTGATGAAACTCCTGCAGAGTATCTGTCAGCCTTCTGATATTTAATACTTAATTACTCTAGTTTAAGAAATTAAGTTATTAAGTAGTAATAAACCAGTCCTATGGGAATTGCTAGAAGGTTCACAATGTATTGTTCATGATTTTGCTCATTGTCCTCATCCTGTGGTTCTTTCTTCCAAACTCAACAGGCTTTTTTTAAAATAGCAAAGCAGCTGCAATTGGTTACAGTTTGACATGGGGTGGTATTATTTATTTCTTCTCAGCCAATTCCTTGCTCAGAATTCCTTTCTAATTTGCATATCTGGAGAGGAGGCTTGGGACTGGCAAGTAACTGGAAGGGAATGATGGAATAATTGCTTGTCTAATGGTTATCTGTTTAATCTGAAGCTACAGACCAATATTTTTACATAATAAGAAAGGCATTGTTAGGAATTGCGTACCATCTGTACTATAATTTCCTCAGAATTAATATTTGGAGGATTTGTGTCCTCTAGTAACAGTTGCTTTCTTGGGAAAAATGTCAGCTTGGTATAAAAAGTTATTTTAATAGAACTATCAGTCTCCTTTCATTTTCTGACTACTTGAAGTTTGCTAGGTTCAGATTTGCTGATACTGCAACCTTGGAAAATCTAATAGTGAAATAGAGATGGAATCTCTGTATTCAAGTAACAGTGTATTTGTGTAAGATAATGTCTGCATATGGCTTCATGAGGTTATCCAGATATTTGGTTATTACCACAATTTAGCTTTGTTCACTGAGATCAAGCAGTTCAGAGGTACTTAGATTTGCAACTTAGACTTTAAAGTCATAATAAAACTGATTTTAGAAGAACTTTGGGCATTAATATCAAATAAAACCATCAAGTATAACCGAGTAGTTAGATTTATATAGCTTTGAATAATGGCTTTCTAGATGATGATGATGCAATAATGAAACGGTTGAGGAACAGGAGAGGAAGACAGTGGTATTGTAGTGTGAATTTGAAAGTGCTTGACTTACGTTCAGAGACTTGAAATGTTATACTGATAACTCTGCTAATTTTTATTACAGTTTATGATGTCACAAGAAGAGACACATTTGCTAAACTAGACAATTGGTTAACTGAATTGGAAACATACTGCACAAGATATGATATAGTTAAAATGCTAGTTGGAAACAAAATAGATAAGGTAGGTAGATCTAAAAATTACTGGTGGCGTATAAACTTTGTGCATGCGTGTATGATCATCTAATAGTTCTACTTTTTAATAGGAAAACAGAGAAGTTGACAGAAATGAAGGTCTTAAGTTTGCCCGAAAACATTCCATGTTATTTATAGGTGAGTTCTTGAAAAGAAGTATGGTAAAGCAATTTATTATCATAGTCCTATTCTTATACTGCTCTCATGGCTCAGATTTTATTGTCATCTTATTTAATAAAATGGTACAATAGCTATAATGTAGGCTAACTGAATTACATAAATTAATAGATGAAACGTATTAAGCCTCAAGGTGTTCAAAAAAGATTCACAGATATAGTTGCTGTTGAGGTTTCAATATTCTTATAGCAGAATGCATTTTATTGATGTCTCTTCCAGGCACAGCCTTGCTCCTTTCTTCTGGCAAAACAATAAGCAATCTGTTTCTATCCAAAAGGCATTAGACCATGTTAGTTGGTTACAGTATGACAAAATGAGATGGATAGTTTTGATAAGGTTGAAATTGGATGGAAAACGAAGTATTAAATGCTAAAACACGGTAGAAGAGTATAATACTTCTTTAATTGTGGCTTGCTGTGGAAACCTTTTGGCTACAGTTGATAGATATTACAAAGCTATCCTGTAATACATATTCAGAGCAGGATGTTTCAGCTAGTGATAACAGTAGCAGTCTCCTGGTTTCATGCAGTGTTCAGCTTCAGTCATTCATAGTCCTGCAGCAATCAAAGGTAATCCCAGTGAGATGGCTTAATAGAGTACTCTCAGTCTTTAGAGTACTGTAAGTAACACTTTCCGTGATTCTTATGCCCCTTTGCTACAGAAAACATTCGAACTTCCTTTTGTCTTTCTAATTCATGGATGTTTTCTAGTAGCCTGGAAATGGGTTCTCATGATGGATTGGAACAAAACCTAAACACATTCTGCTAAAAGCATATTTGTTCATGGTTTTTACTTGCCTCCAGTTTCTGATTTTCAGTTTCAGTGCTACTTAATTAGGACCCTTTTTAAGTTCTAAATTAAACTTCCCAGGCAGGACCTTGCCTTGTTTCTTTGCAAGTGTCGTGCAAGAGTAAAAGTGTTCCAGTAAATAATCAGAAAAGGGCTGGAAGGCATTACCAAAGAACCTTGCCTTTTAGTTTGTCATCAAATATTTTCCCTTGCAATGTGTAGAGATTGAGAGATGGATAATATCAAGTTGCTTCTAGTGAGGCCAAGTAGTCTAACCAGAATGTGTGTCTTATATATATTTCTAAATCTTCAGCAACACAGTGACTTTAATGGCAAATAAATCTATGGTCCTTGAAAACAGAAATGTTGATAACTGTAGAAGTAACTAAACTAAATATTTCACTCATTTTCATAAAATCTAATCTGTGGGGGGAAAGTACAGATTTTTGGTTTGTCACAAAACAAACCTGTTCCCCAGATGGGTCTTGAATTTTCCTGTAGTAGTCTCATTTCTATCAAACAAATAGAGATGAGTAATCTGCAGCCTGTATACACAGCTCCAGCCCCTTTGCGTAGACCTGGTAGCCTGTAAAATTGTGGCATTGAAAGTCAGTGGCAAGCCACTGGTTTTCAAATAAAGACTCAAATGGATACATCAAGTCTGTGATAGATTCAGCCCTATCCTTTCAGTGTTTTATGATCAGTGTACCTTGAGTTCCGTAGCTTGAAAACATACATTAAAAAAAACTGCACAGTTGTGCCAAAAAGTATGTGCTCCCTGCAGTAGCAGTGCATTTCATTTAATACTACAGTTTTAGAGAGTAGCATCCTTTCACATTATAGAAACTGCAGCAATGTACAGTGAAATCTTTTTTTAACATTTCCACTCTTTTTCTCCTCCCCCTTTTAGAGGCAAGTGCAAAAACATGTGATGGTGTACAGTGTGCTTTTGAAGAACTTGTTGAGAAAATAATTCAGACTCCTGGACTGTGGGAGAGTGAAAGCCAAAACAGAGGTGTAAAATTATCGAACAACGAAGAGGGCTACCGAGGTGCCTGTGGTGGCTATTGTTCTGTGTTATAAGCTCTGTGGGAGTGTTCTTATTTAAGGGGTAGAGATGTCCTTTGTACATTAACTCATATCTGCTAATTTTAGGGACCTTGCAGTTTGCACATATTTGTGTAGTATGGCAGTGAACATTTTCTTAGGAGAATGTATTCTGCAGCTTTTCCAGTTGAGAAATGCTATGGTAAGCATGCCTAAATTGCAACGTTCTGGGTTTTTTTATATGTAGCATCACATTTTGTTAGGAACATGCACACTCAGATTTCATACCTTTATCATGGAAAATTTGGAAAACTATATGTTGACTGTGTACTCTGACTGGTCTCTAACTCAAATTACAGGACTGCTTGAGACATATATCTCAAATGATGCAAGCAGATAGAAGTAAAAATTGCACTTTTTATTGGCAAATACTTTTTCTTACCTGTTTAACAGCATGATGATACAATCTTTTTTTAGCTATAAGCAACACCTTTTCTAGCTTGTAACTTGTCCTGGGTGCTTCTGAAATACAAGGGAAGGGAAAGGATAACTTTTAAAATGATTACTGCAATAAGTAGCCATTGGAGTTTTAACCCTGAAAGGTATGGAATGGTACTTTGCACCATAAAGTTAATGGTGCAAGTCTGCAGAAGAATGATTTTTGGTTATGGGCTTCACAGGGTCCCATTGTAAATCACTTTGCCAAGTTTTGAACGTTTCTGTGTTACTATTGTAATTTGGACTCAGTAACCCAAAACTATTGCTCCTTGATGTGTGAAAGGCTTGAATTAAATGGCTGCTATATTTGTGGCTATTGGTTCTGAACCTTAACTGTTAAAAATGTCTTCTGGATGTGTGTGTCTGTATAAGGAATATGCTGTTTTGTTGAGGTTTTGCTGTAACAAACAGCCAGTGGCTGGCTTGTTTCAGAGAACTTGTATTGTTAATAAATTTTTTCCACAGTATTCTTTTTCCCCCCTAATATCTTGCTCATGTATAGATGAATTTTGTAAATCACTATTCGAGGACTGTTTCTTTAACATGCAATACTGGTACCCTGTTATTATTAGAAATTAATAATTTAGTTAGCAGTTTGAACTACTGTGCAATTTTCTGTAAATACAGAAACAAATATCTTTATACTGTTTTTGTACACTCCAGTGCTGCAAACTGTTGTTGGTTTTTCAACAAGCAGACTGCTGTTGCCATTTGAATCATTTAAAATATTTCAGTTTTTACATTTTTAGAAAACCATGGAACTTACTCTGTAACAAAAAATTGTATTTAAAATAACTGAAAATGTTCAAATGCAGTACACTACACATTATATGTTGCCATTTAGTTTCTAGCACTTTTGCTGAGCAAATTATGGATCCGCAAAGATGGTCATGTTTCTCTGTAATGCAGGTAGGGCAGGATGAAATTTTATTGTAGAAAAGTGTGTTTTTAACATGATAATAAAGATTTGTGAAGCAGGAACACACCCATTTAAAACAATTATCAGGTCATTTGCTTATATTTTCCCCCGATGTTGTTCTGACCCACTTGATGTTTTGGATGAAATTTGAGCAATAGGCTTTAAAAAAAAAAAAATCCCCATTTTCTGCCCCAAGGTAACTCAAAGTATGTGTCCAAAAAAAGTGAAGCCCTCTGAATCATAGAAATAATAAAACCTCTTTCTGCTTTCCCTGGAAAAAGGAGATGCAAAATTCTCCAAGACACCAAGCTTGCCTCCCATACATTAAAACTTTCTGCATACTCTAATCAATGAATATACAAAACCAGTCCCACACTTTAACTGGAAATTGTCCTAGATACTACATGTATGAATGAACAAGGCTAATCTTTTGGTGGGATGTAGCAAATACAGGAATTACAAAGTCTCACTCAAGTACCTCTGTAGAAATTAAGAATAAATGGTTTTATCTCACCCGACACTTTTACTAATGCAAAGTTGAAAATGTACTGTACTTCCCTACAAATTTCCTGTGTCTGCTTGACCATGATGTAAACACTGTTTTTGAGGTAAAAAGTAGGGCAAACCACGGTTAATTATCATTCTACCTATCCTCAATGTGTATCCTGTTAAATGAGAGGATCCAATTTCGATACTGTAAAATCTTAAATCCATGAGGAAACCCCACACCAGAACTTCTTCCAGAAGGTCTATATTCAGGGGAATGGGAGCCGGGGCAATAAAATTGATGGATGAAGCTTTACAGTTGCTTAAGGCACTAATTTGATCCGTTAAGCTCTGGAGGCTACATCTCAAAATGACTCCAGGCCTTGCCCATTTTACTCTCAATGTGCCGTGGAGAGGCTGATGCAGCCCTTGAGCCAACAGAATTCATTCGTCCCTACATGAAGTTGTACTCATTTCGGTTTATTAAGACTTAATGGGGCAAGTAAAGGGCATCTTTGAAAGAGGGTTAAAATTGATACCCTATTGGTCGCTTCAGATGCGTACCCTTTGCTTATAGGAAGAAAGGCTGGCCTATTAAGCAAACTTGTTGCTTACATCAACATCTTTTCAAAAAGTGTGGGGAACTAGCTATTCAAATTAGGTTAGACGGTAAGGAAAAACAGTACAATCAAATGGATAGTTATGTTACAAAATCATCTTGCAAAGGTTTTCAGTCCTCTGTGGCTCTTTGGTATATCTTTGATGAAATTGAGCTATTGTACTGGTTCAAGTCTTTCCCAGAAACTGGATTCAATCTAGTATTTTGTTTTCTATCTGAAATAATTGCATGATTTAAGACTATGATTGACATGTGGTATAAGGTAGTTTTTCTGGACATAATTAACATCTTGAAATATTAAAATTGCTTTCTCATAGAAAGCTTCTAAATATTTGGCTTTGCAGAGTTCTTTTCCTTATCAAATTTCAACTGAACCCACTTTTTGAACCGAAGTCCATAGTTCGTGGGTATACTGCATCTACTCCCTTGCCTACAAATTGATGTACAGCTGCAAAATGAACGTTTTTGACTTACAGCCATGAGCAGTAAATACTTGTCCATAATTGTCTCTTGGTTATGAAGATAGGTAAAACTGAAATAGGTTGTATAAACAGAATACAGCAAATCAGAGAAGGGCCAGGTGATACAGTATGGACAGTTACATTATAAGCAAAGCTGTAGGCATCTGCGAGCAATGTACACCATCTGCAATCCAACAGCATTTTCCTATTCTGTGAACAAGTTAGTGTAATGCAAGATTTGGTTTGACAGGATACTCACTGAAAAATATGCAAATGGTTGTACAAACCAAAGTGCTTATATTTTTCAAAAATAACACTAAAGCAACTGGATATGTTCCTTGCTTCAGTCTTACATGGAGAAAAATGAAGGCAACTGTATTTTGAGTCTAGTCTGAAGCAGATCATTCTCTCCAACTCCAATTTATGTGGATGTGGTCTTTATCTCATTCACATTGAACTGTTGCCCTCTTATAGAAATATCTGAAGACCACTCAGAAATTGCAGCTGGTACAAAATGCAGCAGCCTGTAATGGTAGGTGACAGATGCTGCAAGCACATAACATCTGTGCTACCTAGCTCTGCATAGGTTTCTAATAGGTTTCCAGGTGCAATTCAAAGTTGCTGGTTGTAACCTACAAAGTCTAGATGGCCTGGTTGTAGAGTACCTTCAGGACCACCTCTTCCTACTGGAATGGAGTCATCTGACATACTTTTCATGGGAGAATTTGGTCCTTCATTTTGAGGACAGAAGAGAAACAAAGGTCAGAAACAGTGGTTTTGGTGATGGTCCTTCATTTTTTCCTTGAGGCCAGACTAGTACGCATCTTGGGTCTTTTCCTCCAAAGCTGGCCAATACTGAATACTTCTGAAGACCTTTAGGGGGATCATGGAAAGGGGTATTCCTGGCTTGGTGGATTAGGCTATTGTGATATTATATTATGATTTGATAATATTTATTGTCATGGGTTAGTCTGTTTTTATGTTTTATTAACTCATGGGAATCTATTATGTGATTATTTGATAAATAATATGTGAAGCTGGCATGTTGCAAGGCATCAGCCTTCTGAATCCTATGCCATCCCAAAAAAAGGATGGTCCAATCCTTAATTTGTAGTAATATATTATGTTTTGATATTATTTATTGTTATGTTTTAATCTGTTTTTGTGTTTTATAGATAGGAATCTTACATGATTTTTTCTTTAATAAGTAATAAGATGTGAAGCTGGCATGCTGCAAAGAATCAGCCTTCAGAATCCCACACCATCTCACAAAACAAACAGGGTGGCCCAATCCTTAATTTAGAAGTCTTGCATGCTAGCCCACCATAGCAGCCATTTTGTGAATGATCTTATGACATGCTGTTGAAATTCCAAGTATGCCAACATGGCTATAAAGAGTGGAGACCTCTGATTCACTAGCTGAAGTTGACCATAGTGTGAAAAGGTGAATATTACATGCAAAATGACATTTCAACATTTATTGTTTGGTTTGTTGCTTCTTTATTTCTACATTTTGTAAATTTAAAAGAGATAGCCAAATAGCTGGTGTGAAATTAAATAGATGATGTTTTCTTCCAACTGAGAGAACTGTGAAACTCCTGGGAATGGCACTGAGTACATTGTGTACCATCCTTTGACCATGATCTACTCATGCAATCTTAATATTTATGGAAGATCACAGTAGCTCCTTTTACCAACAGAAACAGCTGACTAAGAGCATTTCTCACCAAGAGGAAAAAAACTTTTTTTGACTCCACACTCAGCATGGGAGGAGACAGCTCATATTAGCAGTTGTGCATAAGCTTCTGAAACATCTGCTCCTTTAGAGGCTGCTGAACTATGACTCCTTCCCATCATGGCTTGTGCTCAGGAGTGTTGATAGTGTCATTCAGAATTTCCCCCCAATCGTTCTCTAAAACATTGACTATTGGAGGGTGTCCCCCATTAAAGGTACACGCATATTAACTTGTTCCTTGCCCTAATTGTTCCTATCTGTGCATTTGAAGCATGGAGAAAATGTGTTCACACAAAAAAGCTAGGTTTACAAGGGGTACTTAGAAAGGATTAGAATTCTCATCAATATTGCATTCATTCCGCAAATTATAGGAGTTGTAGCTGTCTACAGTCCTTTCTGCTGCACCGTGAATGTGCGGACAGGGATTGGGGCTAACTGACTGATTTGAGTTAAATAGTCCCATATATCAGATATGTGATCTTATGACACATGGCTAACACCTAAATCCTAAGGACTTTGTTTCCTTTTATAGCATTCAATTCATTTGCACTTTTGAAGTTGCAATTATGTAAAGTATTGCATGCTCTACATTTCTCTGAAGCCTGATTTGGATTTCTTAAAAAGGCTTATTTCTTAAAATGCAAGGAATAAACAAACAGTGGGGTCAGTCAGTGTTGAAATATTTACTTAATGTGGATTGTGTCAACAGACCATGCCAATCCAATCAAATAAGGAAGAACATTTGAAACAGTATCTTCTGAGGTTCACAGACATGGTGACTATCCATGAACTAACCATAGAATAAAGAGGCAGCTATTAGTTAAAGAAAGTCTAGGCAGATCTAGGCAAAATATTCAGGTGCAAAGACATCACACTGACAATAAGGATATGTATGGTCAAAGCCATGGTTTTCCTAGTCATAATGTATGGCTCTGAGAGCTGGATCATCAGAAAGGCTGAATGAAGAAAAATCAATGCCTTTGAACTGTGGTCCTGGAGAACATGAGAATACCTTGGAATGCAAGAAGAACAAATCGTTTTGTGCAAGATGAAATAAAAACCAAAGTACTTGCTGGAGCACTAAGAATAGGGTAGCTATTTTAGACACAATGTGAAGGCCACAGTCAGTGGAGAACCCTGATGCTTGGAAAAATCAATGGCAATCAGAAAAGAAGCTGACAGAGGATAAGACAGCTGGATACTGTTATTGGTAATACAATCATAAACTTAGAAGATCCCAAAAAAGCAGAAATTCTGGCAAAGTGATGTCCATCAGATTGTGAAGACAACCCAGTTGGCAAGAAGGAGACATCTAAAATCAGGCTGCTTAACACAATCTTGTATCAGTCTGGGAAAGAAACTACGTAGACATCTCCATGCATGCAGTTTCTAAGGCTATTTCTAGTTGAACTCACCATTTTTCCATTTCTAAGTCTATTTGATTTAGAATTGCTACTTTCTTTTCCTTTTCCCTTTCCTTTTCAAAAACTTACTCCACGTCTTCCCATTCTATATCTGGAAAACATTAACTCCTCTCAATCATCATCTTTCTGTCACGCTGTCTTAGGACTATTAAAAAAAAAAGACAGCCTTCCATGTGATGGAGGAATGAGGTAATAATCAAGTTGCTTTTTTTCCCCTGTTGTAACATAATTCATTTGTGAATATATTAAGAAATAGCAATCTCTAATTCTTGGTTTGGACTGCTATATATAAACCAGGGTTCCTCAACCTTGGCAACTTTAAGACGG